GATAATTTCCAAGGATCCTCAAAGTGTTGCAGCTAAGGTATATAAGGTTATAAATAGTTAATTAATTAATTAATTAGCTTAATTTTTTTTTCTGAATTGATTAATTTATTATATATAAGAATTTGACAAGATCAATTTGAGTGGAAATTAAGCAAAAAGATTGAAAGAATGTTTGTTCTGCAGAATCGAAGGGAACGAATCAGCGAACGGCTAAAGATATTACAAGAACTCGTCCCGAATGGTTCCAAGGTACTAATTTAGGTTAATTTAAGTATGATTAATTAAGAGGTGTAATTAATTATCTCTAAATCATTATAATTGGATATGTTGCAGGTTGATTTGGTTACAATGCTAGAAAAAGCAATCAGCTATGTCAAGTTCCTTCAGCTGCAAGTGAAGGTATATGTGATTCCAAATTAATTATAATTAACTATAAAATAGTGATTATTGCATTAATTAATGAGTAATTAATTAATTATGTAATATATATTTAAATATTAATGCAGGTTTTAGCTGCTGATGAATTTTGGCCAGCACAAGGTGGAAAAGCACCTGATCTTTCTCAAGTTAGAGAAGCCATTGATGCAATTCTTGCTTCTCAAAGAGATACAAACTCCAGCTGCAAATGATATATCTATATCTATATATTTATATATTATTATGGGGCAAGAAAATCAATAAATAAAATAAATCAATATGTTATTTAACATCAAATTAGGGTTTTGAATTTTGATCTTGATCCGAATTGAAGTACAACCCCACGAGTGAAATAATGACGTTGTACTTTTTTCTTGGAGTTCTTATTTATGTTGTCTCCAGAAGATCTTGCATTTTTTTATTTAAAAAAAAATGAATCTGAATTTTTTACATACCTTGTGCTGTTTAATTTGGAGATTGATTAGTAAAATAATGTTACTAATATTATTTTTTGCTTAATTATTTTCCTTGTTAATGCACTTCACCGGTACAAGCATATATTATGATATACTATGATATACAAATTTTTAATTAAAATACTGAATATTATATATTTGTGCAACAAACAATTCAACACTCGTATACGAATATACGATGAGAAAGAACAAACAGTACACCGACGTAGTTTGACCACGAAGAATACTCTACGATATCCGAATATTAAATGCAAATACATACAATGAGAAGTACAAATCTTTGTACTAGCTTATAATAAAATATATTAAAGTAATTTGGACAAAATTCTAATTAGAAATTGTTATATCTTAATAGTATACCTCAATTAAATATTGGGCAAAATACACTTTACCCCCTTGTACTATACCTTATATAACATTTACTCCCTTGAACTATGGAAAATACACTTACCCCCCCTATTTTAATGGTCAACCTATTTGACTCATAACGGTGTTAGTAGTAAAATAAATTTAATATATTTTTAATAATTCTTACTAAATAACAATTTTTTTTATTTAAAAACATAATATATGTACTATGAATAAATAAATAAATATTTAAGATAATAATATTTTTTAAATTTAAATAAGAAAAATATTATTAGTTTTTCAATTCAATATATTTTTTAATAATTCATAAGAAAAGACACCTAATTTTTATTAAAAAAATATTTTTTCATTGTGGATAATTATATTAAATAAGTATTTAACATGTATAAAATTTTACATATAGGATTAAAATATTTAGTCATTAGTATTTATATCAAAAATTGTAATTCTACGATAGTGTTTTTTTAACGATATATGCTAATAATTTATTTTATTTATTTGTAACATCAAATTTCATTTAAGCCTTTTACATTTAGGATTAACTATACGAAATTTAATGTTACAAATAAATGTTAAAGTTCAATGTACACAATGTTTAACGAGTTAAATAATTTAACTCATAATATGAAAAAATATACTTGCTACTTGGTTGTATAAAATAACACATGAAAAGTTATACTGTTTAAATATTCATTTTTTAAAATAAATATTTAACAAGTAAATTATATTTAATCCGAATTTTAAAAAAGAATTGCTATCTTAAATATTTATTTAATATTTTCGTAGTACATGTAATATTTTTTGAAGTAAAGAAAATGTGTCGTTTAGTAAGAATAAAAATATATTAAATTTATTTTACTACTAACACCGTTAAGAGTCAAATAGGTTGACCATTAAAATAGGGGGTAAGTATATTTTTCATAGTACAGTGGTAAGTGTTACATAGAACGTAGTACAAGGGTAAAGTGTATTTTGCCCTTAAATATTTAGTGATAGGTTGAATTAATTAAGGGATGTAGTGTTAATTTTTCATAATTTTTTTTGTTAATAAATAAGTTACAGATAATTTCTTAGTGGATTGTTTATTTAATCAGCTAATCTTAACTAGTGACTAATAATTAGTATAATAGTCTATATAATAATAAGATCTAGTGGTTTTATTCGCCTAAATGGTTCACTAGTCTCGTGGAGTAAGTATAAAAACACGATCTACGAGATGGTACACCTGGTGAAAAATATCAAGTGATTTTGCACCATAAATTTATATAAATAACTACCCACCAAGCACACTTATCCATGTGTGTTATTATGTGTAGATCAATGGTACAAAATCACTTGATATATTTCATCGCGTGTAGTATCTAAATTTATTGTTTGTCTTTTTGGGCTAATTCACATATATTAAGAAAACTAATAAATGTGCATGTATTCTAGAAAAACCATAATAAAATGACTAAAAAACCACTTATATTAAATGTTTAACCATTAATTATCTTAATAGTAATAAGGGCATAGTTGAGAAAACACAATAAATACTTCATTGGAATCCTAAGTGACAATTATTTTGAAATGAAAAAAAATCTCTAGAAAGACAATTAAAATTGAATGGAGGGAATATGTCATAATTAATTACGATTAATGGTAATAATGTAAAATTACCCCCAAGGGATCTTTTAAGGGGCAGGGGGCTGCTGCCCCCAAGATTTTTTTTTAATAGGTATTTTGGCATTTTAATTTTTGAATATTACTTTTGACCCCCTAAAGTTTTTGTAAATATGTGTCTTAACCTTTAATTTTTTTTTTCTTCTCCACAATCTTATATAAATTATACTTGTTCACATCATATCTAATATAAAAATATTTGATAAAATGGTTAAATTTGTATTATTTTATATAATATCTATGAATATTTACTTCTTTTGGAATTTTTTTATCGGTGTCTCTTAAAAATAATATGAGACGATGCCATTAATCTCCAAAATATTTAAGTGCAATACATTAAGATTTTTTTTTCATGCTTAAAATATGATAAAACTATAATATATATGCTATTTTAATTAAAAAATTGTCAATATGAACTTATTTTTGCTATATCTTGTGAACCTAAATTTTTTTTCGGGCCACTGCCCCGAACCCCGAAATTTTAGTTAGCCCCCTATATTTTGATCCTGGTTTCGCCCCTGATTACCCCATTGAGGGCACACCTATCGAGATTTAATTGACTGAAACTTTTTTTTTTTTGAAAATTGTATAAATTATACATTTTTATGATTATAAAAATTAGTCCGATTTTAGTGGATCAGTCTTTGATACAAATAATATGGCTCACTATTATATAATAATCAACTATTGAAAACAAAACGATGATGTGGAGTAGGAGAGGGCGGAGTCAAATGATTCGAGTTTGAGTTCTCTTATCAACACTTCTAATTTTAGGTCGAACTTTACATGTGTTATTTGCCTAATGTGATCGATCTGATTTACATATATTGCGTGGTTTGCAGACTTTTGTACATGAATGTGAGCTTATGGTTCGCTACGAGATCCTTTTATACATAATTTTTTTTCAGGCGAATCATCATTTAAGTTTAATCGAATTTTTGTTGCGTTTTCTGAATTTTATGGGACTAAACTCAAAACAAGTTGCACACAAATAAAATGTCATCATTTATGATAAATTGTTAATTAGATAAATTGTCGAATAATAGTATCTTCAATATATGATCACTAGAGCTTAGATTAATATCTCAAAATATAAGATAAATTATCCAATTTATGTAATATAGGCGCTATTTTTGTAAATAAAAAATATTATATTCTTTATTTTTTGTGTTTTTCCATTTGTATGAGATGAAAAAAATGGTAAATTGCAGCCACCCATGAGGTATGGTCAATTTACAAAAAAAAAATCTCATGTTTGGATAATTACAACTACTCCTCAACTATGGATATTCTTACACGTCCACCATTATGGTATCAAATTCAATATAATCTTTTAGATTCCGTTGAATGTTCTCTAGTTTGTATTTTTTTTGTGCGAAAATGCATTTTTTGATGCTCTACAATCAGATACATACAAGCCGAAAAACACATCTTATGATCATCTTGCATTAAAATGTGGAGCTCGAATGGGATAAAACGGGTACAAAATTGAGAATATTTCATGTAAGAAGATTTAAAGTTAAGAGATATAATAATAATTACCGAAAAATGAGGGAGGTTTTTATAATTTAATCATACCTCAGGGTTGATTGTAATTTACGCGAAGAAAAAATGGTGAGAACCTCTCCTATGCGGCGCGTCCACACGGTTGGTGTCAAGGTGAAACGTCTGACGTGTCAAGCGTATGTGTCGAAATGGGGACCACAAAGCACGTGTGGGTTTTATTCAGAAAGACCAAATGGAATTGTCACTTGTCACATGCCTATCAAGTATCAACGGTGTTTTTTTTTTAATACTTAATTTCCCTAAATCCTATTAATTAATTAATTGCTAATATGTCTTAGTTGTTCACTTTCAATTGATTTAGTTGTCTCCTTGTGTTTATTTAATTTGAGATTCCGTAATTTAATGAGTTAATCACTTCAGGCTGTAATGCTCATACTTTATACTAGTGTTAATTAATCAACCAATCCGATGCAGCGAATATCCGCAGGGATATTCTACTTCATCAATTTTTAATTATTCAAGTAAATTAAATTTACATGTATTTCATCCACAAAAAAATACATGTATTTATTTGAGGGTTAATTTGTGTTCAATTAAATTTTTTTTTACCGTTAACTAGTTGTTTTGTGTCATAAGGGGTTCTGCGTAAGGTTTTATATTGTATGAGGGGCCAAAATAAACGAACCTAAAAAAAAATAATTACACGAAAATAAACGAACATGAAACATTACTCTATTTTTCATATTGCACCTTTGAATTTGTTTTTATTTCCGACATCTTAAAACATAATTTGACTCCTATAATATTTTTTTTTCTCTTTACAAAAAAAAAAAAAAAAAAGAAATGAACATTAATTTTATTTTTCAAATTCTTCTGTCGAAATATTTTTGTCAAACGAAATGAAAATAAGCCAAAAAATTCTTCCAAACATGGCCTTAGTTTGTACATAAATCATAAGGCGTTAGCCTTATGATTTGAAGTTTGAAGTTTGTTTAACTTTGGACCAATCACGAATATTAATATAATATATATGTGCATGGAATGGCAATTGTATTATTTATTTATGGGTAAATTACAAAGACCCCCTGAGGTATGGTCGAATTACAAAAAACCCCTCTTGTTAGGATAATTACATCTACCCCTCAACTATGATTTTTTCTTACACCTCCACCCTTATGGTGCCAAATTCAACATAATCATCTAGATTCCGTGAAATGTGCTCTAGTTGGTACTCGTTTTGTGTAAAAATACAGTTTTCGATGTACCACAAACTGATATATACAAGCTAAAAATCACATATTATGATCATCTTGCTTCATAATGTAGAGTTTGAATACGATAAAATGGGTACAAAGTGATAATATTCCATATAATCTCGAAAATTCCACTAAATTTGAGGAGTTGATGGGATGGTTGTAATTATCCAAACAAAAGGGGTGTTTTTGTAATTTGACCATACCTCATGTGTTTGTAATTTACCCTTTATTTATTTAATGGAGTTCTGTCATTCCATACAAATAAAAAAAAATTAAAGACAAGAACATTGACTGAAGAAGTACTTGACAGACAGTATACTGTATGCATACACTAACAATTTGTACTTGCAATCTCTTATTTGTCAGAATTTATTTTATTTATTTATAGTGTAATTAATTCTTCCAATCACTAGATATATGAGAGATTAGGTTGACTTGATCTGGGTTTTATTTTTTTATTTTTTAATTTTTTATTTATGTATATGTTTAATGTTGCAATAATTGCAGCTGATCGATGTGCATACAACCCATTAAATTCTCGTATTATATACAAATAATATCCAATCATTGAATCCATATGTCTTAAGGATGCATGCGAAACCTTGTTGTCACAATTTTATATGCAATTAATTACTAATATAATAAATAAACTCAAGCACAATAGAGTGGTGGTGTAGCACAACTTTTGTACGATTGTTTTTTTTTTCTTTTTTTAATTATTATTATTAATATTTTTATAAAAAAAAATTGAAGTATATTTTTTTACTTCAAGCATGAATTGCTATATATCTCGATCTTGACTTGGTCAAGAGTGTAACTATATATTTAATTTAATTTTATATTCGATTATTACAGTAGAAAAAGAATATGGGATGACCAGATTTGTACTACTGACTAAGTTTTAAACATGCTACGTCGGATATTATGTTTTATAATATAATAGTTGGTACTATTATTAATGTTTATTATTATTATTATTATTATTATTATTATTATTATTATTATTATTATTATTATTATTATTATTATTATTATTATTATTATTATTATTATTATTATTATTATTATGAAGTCAGCAAGCCATGTTAAGTGTTAACTAGCGGATGCACGTGCAAAGTGGACGACCTCTAAGAATATTTTTATTATAATTTATGAAATTATAAATTGAATTGTTTTTACCTTTTGGGGGATGGATTTGATTATGGGTTGAAATTTGGATCGGGTCAAATTAACCCTTTCAGAATTTATTTAAGGCGGCGGTTATATGCAAGCCCATTTTTTTATTAGTTCAAGACATCCAACATAAAAATACTAATTTACCTTTAATGAAATTTAAAATCAAATAAAAAACACAAAGATTTAAAAAATAAAAAATAAACATTTCCTTTGTGCAAGACCAAATAAAATACATAAATCCAGAAAACCCTCTTCCTTATTTCACGACTTAAAACTCTCCTCATTCTTCCCCTTCTTCTTCACAAACCCACCAAGAAATCCTTCACACCAAAATTATCAAATACATACTAAACATTCACGATGGAACCAGAAAACAATGATATGGTGGTTTACAAGGGTGGAGAACACAATGAAATATGTTTTAACCGTTTATTTTTGCTTTTGAGTCGTTTTTTTTGTTGCGAAAAAAATTCGACGATACCAAAAATCGGTCTGCAAATACCGATTTTTGTTACTAAAGTCGGTAACCACATTCAGATTATTTTAATAAAAATCGGTACTTAAAAACCGATTTTTGTAGTAAAAATCGGCATGACAACACCGATTAGTTTTTGTATTATCGGTATTGTCATGCCGACTTGTACTACAAAATTCGATTTTTAAATACTGATTTTATTATAAGTGTTTTTTTAAGACCGTTTTCTCATACTTTCGTGCATCACCCTAGGGGATTGATGGAGGATTATTCAAATGAATTATCTAACGAATAAATATTTGAGATACGGAAAGCTCTACTCGATTGGGTTAAAGGAGTGGTAGACGCCACCGAATAATGGTGATAAACATTTTCGTTTCAAATATTTAAAAAATATCAATTAACCAAATATATAATTCATTATTAAAAAAAAATTCAAAAAATATCGGTATTCGAAAACCGATTTTGTACTCAATAATCGACATTAGAACGCCGATTTTGACTTGTAAAGTCGACGTTGTGTCGCCGATTTGGTTAACAAAAATCGGTTTTATGACGCCGATTTTCGTGTACAAAATCGGTCTGGATAAACCGATTTGGGAAACCAACGAAAAAAAATAAAAAAACCAATTTCAATCTCAAACTTTTTCCAAAATCGGCCAAATTATTGCAACCCAACAAGAAATAAGCATAGATTAATGTTCATTCGTACATATTTAGCATAGATTAATATTTGGCAGTCGCGATATTTCTCCTTTTTTTTTTTTTTTTTTTTTTTTTGGTTTTGAACAAATTAAAAATAAGATTTATTTGTATTTGAGTATTATTTGTGGATAAGGGTATATTTGTCATCTTTGGTCTTGATGTAATAAAGTTAGATTAATTTACATGCTTGAACTAATAAACTCATTTATGTGGTTTTGAACTAATAAAAGAATGGGCTCGCATATAACGGCCGCCTTTATTTTAATAGTTTCAAAGCAAAATAATAATCTAATTTTGTTCCAAAAAAGTTGAACCAACAGAAAATGGAATTTTATAATTTGGAATAAGCAAACTTGTTACATTGGAAGTTGGAACTTTTTGGATCGGGAACCGACGGAGGTCCGACTTTTCTTCTTCTTGTATTTATCTATAATATAAATACATAAATAAAATTGCTATTATAAATAAATCACGTAAAGTATGTATCATAAATATAATACTAATGTTAATAATATACATGTTTTTTTTGAAAGAATAATGTACATGTTCTTTGAAGCTTAAGTTACAACCTTTTGAATTATTTAAAAAAACAATAGATTGTATATTTTTTTATTAATTAGTTCATATATAAATGCAATTTTGACACGAAAAAGGTAACAAAAATAAATAATTATTTCTTCCTTTGTGTTTCATTTATAATAAAATGAAATGATATTTAAAAAATATAAAGAGAGAGGTGTATGGTACATTTTACAAGATATGCAATTTAGAGTGTAATTTGCCAATTTCAAAATTCAAGGGTGCAAACCGCCAATCCATGTTATTTTCAGGGTGCAAACCGCAATTCACCCAATTATTATCATATAAAATTATATTAACTACCAAATGGATTAGGGTTGCATGGAGCAACAAATCACGAAATTAACGAACAACAACATCGGATAGGAACTCGATTAATTAGGGTTAACGGATAATCAAGATACAATCTTATCATTAATCCAAGATCCTATCAAGAATCATTCAAAATCAGAAGAATTATCTGATTGGTTCAAACCGATCATCACATTTACGTCCGTAATAACTTCCCCTAATTATAGGATTATCACTAATCCTCATCCTCAAAAACTCTGTTAAAACCATCACAAAACTTCATTAAACACAGATTAAGAACTCAATAAAAAAATTAATAATAAAATAAAAAACCCTAGAGAAAAAAAAAAATACCCAGTTTCAGTTTTCAGTGCAAAAATCACAATGGCGCCAAAAGTTGATGGAATCGAAGAAGAAGAAATATCAAGAATGGAATCAGGTGGTGTCACAAATTCAAATTCAAATTCAAATTCCCAATCCAATGCCAAACAAGGCTTTTGCTTCTCCCCTATAGTTGTAACCACTGCACAAAAGGTATGGACAAAAACAAATAAAACCCTATGTTTCGAATAGGGGTGTAATCGACTTTGAGTCGATTCAAATCTATGACGTGTTTCTGAATTTTAATCGTATTTTGAGTTTGATTTGATTATCATCAATACCCCCAATCGAGCTCGGATGAGCTTCGAGTAAGGTGAATAAGCGAATTTGATTTTCCTCAGCCCATCATCATAGTTTATCGAACGAAAATACGTGTCCAATCTTGATTTGTGATAGCCGATGAATCGAGCTCAAATGTGTTCAATTAACATTCTTAATTTCAAACATTTAAAGTCACATTTTTTTTTCTTGATATAGGTGGTAGCTGAAATAATCGGAACATATTTTGTGATATTCGCGGGTTGTGGCTCGGTTGTTGTCAATAAGTTATACGGTGAGACGGTCACATTTCCCGGGATATGTGTCACATGGGGACTAATCGTCATGGTTATGATCTACACTGTCGGCCATGTTTCCGGGGCCCATTTCAACCCCGCTGTCACAATCACATCCGCCCTATTTCGCCGATTTCCTTGGAAAGAGGTTTGATTTCCACATTTCAATTTCTATATATCTCACCAAAATTGTAAATTCCTAACAGTTCAGTTGTGAGTAGCAATTAAATTGTCTACTCACAACTGAATTAGGTCACAAGTCACGACTGAATTAAGTCAATTCAGTTGTGATTGCGAGTGATTTAATTTATTACAAAAATTCAAAAAAATGAGGCTACCCTTATAGTGTACCTTATGAATGGACCTTGATGTATGTTTTTTGCAGGTCCCATTGTACATAATAGCTCAATTAATGGGATCAATTCTTGCAAGCGGCACTCTATCTCTAATGTTCGACGTCACTGAAAAAGCGTACTTCGGCACACTTCCGGTTGGATCAAATGGACAATCTCTAGCCATAGAGATCATCATCTCTTTCCTCTTGATGTTCGTCGTCTCGGGAGTTGGCACAGATAGTCGCGCGGTTCGTTGCAAACTTTATTAATACGACCACTACTATAGAAAAATAACTTTTTATTAATACGACCCTAAATTTCATTGATTTTCACAATCTTTAATTTTGCTTGAAACAAAATAAAATTCAGATTGGGGAGTTTGGAGGAATCGCAGTTGGAATGACCATAATGCTAAATGTCTTCGTAGCCGGGTATAACTTTTAATTTCACTAATTTATTTATAATTATTTTGATAATTTTCGAAAATAATTTGATTTTTTTTAAATTTATTTATTTAATATGTAGCCCGATTTCTGGAGCGTCGATGAACCCGGCGAGGAGCATTGGGCCAGCTATAGTGAAACATGAATACAGAGGGCTGTGGGTTTATGTAGTTGGCCCAATTATTGGAACAATTAGTGGTGCATTTGCTTATAATCTAATTAGATTCACTAATAAGCCAATTAGTGAGTTAACTAAAAATGGTTCATTCCTTAGAAATAAATCGAATGATGATTCGAGTTAGATAGTAGATACAACTGTTTATATGTATTGTTTTGAGAGTTTTGTACATTAGGTTTGGAAAATTAAGTTAATATTTTATTTTTGTTATTTAAGTTGATCTGAATTTTTATGATTCTTGCATGTTTAAACTGAGTTAACAAATTTAGGATTTTATTTTATAGATGACATATTACATAGTTGTGATTTTATGTTCTAAAAGATCGTTACCTCACAGATATTAAATTAGTTGTGAATTAAATATTCTCGTATTTGAAATTAATTGTTGTTTTGGAATATCTTTTTACTTATGTGGTATGTACAATTTTCAAATTTCTATGATACATTAACTATTTTTTTTTTAATGAGAAACGTTGAGCATTTATTGGGCATAACACGTCAAATTGGGAGTTACAGATGAACCCTCCAGACAAGCTAAGTCTGAAGCACTAGCAAGGAAGTGAGCAAGTTGATTACAATGACGTTTAAAAAAAAAGAAACTGAGCAATTATAAAAAGATTTCGCAGTAATTTTAATTTTATTAAAGGACGTGAGAGAATGGTCTTCGGATCTTAAAGGGCTCCGATGATATTCAAGCAACCCCCTTCCATAATAACGGCTGGCCAACCTCGACGAGATGCTTTAAGGATCACTTTAAGGGCGGCGTAGGCTTCCCTTTCAACTAGACAAATCATACCCGGTATTCTTTCCACGCTCCATCATATCGTCTGCACCAATGAATTCCTCGCCACCATAGCTATCGAATAGAAATTGCGGCCCGGCGGAATCGCAACATCATAATTAACCTTAACGACCCCATGTGGAAGAGGCTGCCATGCTATGGGATTCGGCCGTTCCTTTAAGGGAAGGGTAGGAGATCGTGCCTCGTTAAACATAACCAAATAGCTTTTGCACCAAGACACCAACTCATCAACTCTGAATCCGGATTCTCCATTGATGATATTATTCCGCTGCTCCCATAGCTTCCAGCATACCACCACCGCAAGTAAGAAATCGCCATTGCTCAAACTCATTTTCAGAAATTGTAGCCATGTCGAGAAGGATAAAAACTCACTATTCAGCTTCAAGTTGAAAGGTTAACCCAACCATAGCTGCAATACACTTCGGCAGCTAAGGACCACATGTAAGATCGTTTCTGGTTGATCATTACACAAACCGCAAGATGGAGAATTTGATATGTGACGTGGGAACAACTCGGCATAAGTAGGGAGTAAAAAATAATCCTAAAAATAAGATGTAACAGCTTATTATCAACTGTTTAAAATAAGTTTAGCCAAACACCCTCTTAATTTTTTGATGTCGGGAAGAAAAAGAAAAATCATTGGATTTTGTGATTCGCATATTAGTTAAGAGTAGGGATGGAAATCGGGCGGATTAAATCGGATTTAGGTGTTTCATAAAATTTTTGATTTTTTTGGGAAGGCTAAGATTTTCGATTTTTTTCGGATTCCGATTTCAATTTTTTCGGAACTCAAGAATCGATTCCGATTCCGATTTTTTTTGCAAATTTCGGATGGATTTTTTCGGAGCCATTCATATTCGAATTTGTTCGATTTAAAAACGAAGAAAAAACGAAGAAAAAACGAAAACAGAATAAATGGCGGCGGGACTTCTGCTCGTCAAGAGAACGAGAGCGGCGTGGCTTGTACTCGGCGGAGAGAACGAGGGCGGCGGAGCTGGTGCTCGGCGGAGAGAACATGGCGGCGAGGTTGGTGCTCGGTAGAGAGAAAGAGGACACCGGTACAAGGCGGAGAGAATGAGGGAGGCAGCGTTGGTGCTCGACGAAGAGGAAGAGGGCGGCGCTGGTAGTGGTTGACGGAGAATACGAGGGTGGTGTTTGTGGGAGAAAGGCAAAAAGCAGAGAAGAAAGTGAAAGAGTGTCTTTGTTTGGCTTACGGTTTCGCTCGTTTTCTTTTGTCAAGAGACGTGGTAATTGTGTAGCTCATAACATAGCTTCTATGTCTGTTCTTGATTATTCGGAAGGGTCTACCCTTCCCCCTTCTTGGCCGGCGGTACCTAATAAATCTCTCCGTTTCTCCTCAAAAAAAAAAAAAAAAAAGTCGGGAGCGGCGTGAAGAGAGAAGATGAGAATGAGAGGTTAATTTCGATTAGGGTTACAATTTACAATTTAATTCGTATTCTGTAGTTTAACAAAATTTTCAATTTCCGCCGAATTCGATCCGAAAATTTTCGATTTTGGAAGGATTTTTTCAATTCCGACTTCCAAAATTTCCGAATTTCAATCCAAAATTATTTCGGAATATATATATTATTTTGTTCAATCCAATGGGTCGGTTAAAAATTGATTACCCGCCTAAGAATATGGTCGGTAATGGATCGGTTGGTGGATAAATATCAACCCAATCGCAGCCCTAGTTAAACCATATTATTTTTTATTTATTCTTTTCATTTATCATTGATGTTATTCATGTTGGTTTTAATTTAAGATTTTACGTTTGGTCATTCATTTTAATTTCTAAATAGTTTTGCGTAAAATTTATAAATTATTCATGTTGGTTTGAGTCTTATTATACACCCGTCAGGACCCGTCTATCCCAATACCGTCGAAAATCCATAAATTTGGTTCCTTAAAATCAAGAACCATTGGTTGACAGGAGGAGGTTGGATTTTGCTAGAACCTACAGATTTATATACCGTTGAAACCCGTAATATATTTGCAAGACAAAAAAAAGGGATGTCAATTTTTTAATTAAATGTACTCATGGGCCTATTTGTCATTTTTTTAAATACTAACATTTTTATCATCACTCATTCCATTTTGACGTAATTCAGTTGGCCCAATGCGATACACTATATAATGTATATATATATATAATTTTTTTTGTTTTTTCTCTTACGTTCTTTGGATTTGAGTTGACGTTTTACTAGATCTAGTCAGGTCCACGTGCGTTGCACGTGTCGTATTAATTTTACAATGTATTTGTTGTTTTTACATTGTGCTTGATTCATTTTCAACAAAATAATATTATATATTTAATATGTCTAAATTATATTTCGAGACATGTTAACTTTTTCAATATATATAGGAAAATTTTGGCAAAACCCACATTAAACATGTGTTTACAATGACCTCCAATTTTAAGGTAAATTCAAAACGTCATTAAATGATAAAAAATAATTAGGTTTCTTGATTTTACCCTTACATTTATCTTACGTATATTACGATTGAAAAATACATAGTTACATAATATCTTCCATAATTAAATTATGACGTTCTCATGTTAGGAACGATCAGAAAATTGATGTTCTGACTTCTCACTCTTATTCACCGCCGCTCATCCCCTTGATAGCAAAAGATTTGGATCGTCAGAGCGCTGGAGTCTCTGTTTAGTGGTTGATGTTGGATTTGATACTCTTCCTATTCACAATACTTATTAATCTAATTCCCTCCCCCCCTACATCGGAGTTCTGGCCGATAAAGGTGAAGTCAAATCAACTATTGCTTAGAGTGGATTTCGTTATTTCAAGTTATTAAATCTACGCAAAGTCGATTTCGCCCTTACCAGTGATTAAATTCGCTATTGCTCAGAGTGAACTTCGCCCTTTCCAGTTATTACCATTGCGTAGAGTTTGCCCTTTATGATTGTAAATGTGAAAATCCATGACAACTTTGCTGTCTCCGCGGTGAAGGTGAAGTAGAGAAGCGATATTCTTGGGCATTAATTATGGAAGATATTTCTCTTAATCTTTTAGGGTGATGGGATTTGCATATCTTCCCAGTTTTTTATTTGATTTTCAGTAATAGTAAATATGGGTATTTTGGGTGATTTGAATCAAATGAATTTATGTCAAATTTTGAATTAATAATTAAAATTGTCACAATATGATATTTCATTGGGGCTTTTTTTTGTCAAAAAACCCAATATAGATAATATAGTTAGCAATTTTGTAATATTAGTAACTCGATATTTCTTTATCGTCTTCATAGTTTTAATTGTTTTCTTTCACGACTTGAATTCTTCAAGTGTTTTTCATCATCGCAACTTTATTTATATTTAATCATCTTCTTTAGGCACTATTTTTTTATTTTTTTTTATTCTGAAATCACTTGTTTTACCAAGTTGCTTTTCTTTTTGGTTAACTCACTTTTTTTGTGTGTGTGAGTTTGGACAATATCCCATTCATAGGTTCGAGATCAACATCTATAAATTGAAAAGTTTGAATGATCAACTCTGTAATCACAATCAGTTGTTATAATCAATAGGTCTTTAAATTGTTCTTACTATTGTTTCTTTATCTCACACTTTTCATTTCTATTATCAGATGCAATTTTTAATTATTTATTGATCGTTGATATGTTATATATTGGTATAATGAGAAGGAGAATTGATCAAATCCGAACATAATTGATGTTGAATTTAAATTAAAACTTTGTTAATATGTTGATAATTTAAGAATCACATATTGGAATGCAAAACAAGATTCAACATTTTAAATTCAATATATATTTATAACTATTAAAATCAACAATTAGCCCTTTGAATTCAAAAATTTTAAAAAGACAAACATATAATTATATTTTTCTTAACCATGTCTTTTTAATTGTTAGTGTAATAAGATATTAGTTTATTTTTATTTAATAAAAATAACTATTTTAACTCATTACTTGTACCAAAAGACGAAATTCCTCGCCCTCAGGGCTTCAATCCCTTGGTCCGACAAATATTTGATGAAGGAATGTAAATCATGGTCATGTAAGTTTTGGTATTGTTCATGGTGTCATATTAAACGTGATAAAAAAAATACTAACTTGATTCGTACCTACATCCATCATTCCATAAATTGTCATGACTTAGCTTTGATAGGAAGAATGAAGTCAAATTGAAAAAAAAAAGATATAATATGAACTGAGTACTGCCAACTTGTCTCAGATCCACTCCGTCACTTTCAAAACCAAATACTTCATTTGATTAGAATGTAGTCCTCTTCAACTACTCAGTATATTTTGGCATTATAACAACAGAGAATATATATACTACTTAAATAATTAAGGAAGATTAACAATTTGAATACTTGAAAGGTCATTACATGAAATTAAAAGTGAAAATAAAATAATTAATCATATGAATCATTATAGGTGCAATACATTATACATCAATAACCGTTCAATTCAATGTACA